AAATGTTTTTTGTTGAAAAATATGTTTTTAAACCAAATCTCGTTTTCTGTCTCTTCCCCCCCCCCCCCCCCCCCACCTGGCCAAAGTATTAATTAAACTTCGTCCGCGCTACCCCTAATTAGCGACTTTTCGCTCCGCGCTTCCGCCCAATTCAACTTGTTAATGCTCGACCTTTTCACTTGGCGGGGTCGCGGGAAGAAAACACGAATGGCACAAATCAGCCACCATAGTTTATCCGACTTATTTATCCTCTTGATTGTTTTCTTTGGATTATAAAACACATTTTAGTGTGCTTTAATTTTTTGAAATGTGAAGATATCCAATAATTTATAAGTAGCTTAATAATATACGACGGTATCCTTACACTATTTCTTTATACAGTATTTGAAATAAAAAATCAATGGACTGGTTTTGATTTTAACATTCTTTACTTACAATACAAATCCGTTATAGACATTGTAATATGAAACTTGCTACATTGCAAATATGCATAGCAATGCCTATTTCTTTAATATTTTATAACTAAAAAAGAACAGTTGGTATAAGTCACCGCCGCGATTTTTAAATAGACAATGAACGAATTACAAATCAAATGTAAAAATAAATAAATCTATTTTTAGGTGTTCAATACGCACAATCCTTAATAGTGCGTAAATATTCAGCTTTAACACAGTAGAGAAGCAAACACGTATAGGTGATACATTTTCGGATAAGAATGTTTCCAAAATGGTGTGGTGTGAAAAAAAGATTCCGTGTTATGTTTCTTATAGTAATAGCATCAGGATCTTCGTTTTTTATTGGTTTATGGATGTCTAATCCATTGAAGAAAGGTAAACAAATGTTAAACTATACTTTATATTTCATGAACTACTTATTGACTGACCTGTAATTGGATACTGTTATCTCAATAAAGGAATAAAGAGATTTTAAGGCAAATTGAATATTTTTTTCTGTAGAAAGACTAAATGTGTTTAATAATGTAAAAATAATTGATTAAGAACATGTCAGATCCTTGAAAATATTGCGCTTTATGTGAAATTATTTCAGTGTGGCAATGTATACCACGTGACATTGGCGTCATTTTCGGCATCATTTCCAAGACAAATGTTGCTCGATTCGGAAAAGAAAATAGACGTAAATATTTTATTTCTGTACCAATTTCTTTGGGATATGCACCAGTCTACGGGGAAAAATATAAGCTTTCCACAGAATATTAGATCTTCGTCAGTTTATAAGCCGTTTTATCAAACACTTTGCATAACATTGGAAGTTGCTTGTATTAGAGCGCGCTGGCCTCAGTTGCAAGCTATTTCGTTTTCTGGCGTTATCTGGTCTACGCCATTATTAAAAAGTCAGGTTTACATCAACCGGAGTACGGAAGGCAAAAACTCTACCTAAAAAATATGTTCATATTTTTATTATGAATGACATTAAATCTTATATTTTTCTTCAGTTGTCAATTCTGGCACCAGTTTCCAAGTCGAAAAAAAAAAAAGGAAAATACAGTTTAAAGCAAATTTTAGAATCCGTTACAAATGCAAAGCAACATGCCTACCGTTCTCTTTCTATAATTATGTTAACCATGAAAAACATTTTATTTACTATACGATTTACATAAACACAAATGAATATTCAAATGATTTTTACTCGCTGCCCTATAATTAAGTGATTTTAAAAGTCGTAAAATTGTTGTCTGTCATTGTTAATCATTGTTCTTTCACGGTAATGATTATAAAAAATCTATTTGTGTCATGTAGCAATACTTAACGTGGAATAGAAAACTGAAACCCTAAATATCGCCCAAAACGGTAAAATTGAAAATGTTGCAGGCTCGGCCTGTCCAATGAACGTGCACATTCAGGATCACTTAATTCGATTTGTATGCTGTGAAAAGGGTTACGCCTCAACGCGGCATTTTTAAAGTCAAAGGTTATTCTTTTGTAAAGAGCTATTTATGCGTACAACCATATATATAAATATAAAGAACCTGTAGCAATGTTTAAGTATGATAGATTCAGCTTTTTAACACAGTGGCACTCGTTGGTAAAAAATATTTTTACATCCTGCATGTTTTCATACCCACGGTAACCGTTTTTCGTGAACTGGATATAACTTCGTTCACTTAAGAACACTATTTAACACTATCTATTTTATAATTGCATTTATTTCTGTTGATAACTGCATATCTGAAAAATTTAGTTAATTATATCAGTCAACTCAGCTTTATCAGAGAGCTCACCACTATACATTGTTAAGAGAGGAAGGGAACGGAATATTTATGGTTTGAAAACATTTAAATCGAGTAGAACTTTTTAACAATAATGTCTCTTTCAACTGAATAAAAACGATAGGGCTATTTGGGACTATTTCTTATCGATGTGGTCATTGGCTGTTAATGCATGGATTATTGCACGCGGCATGACCTGCAGATGTCCTCACCAAGAATTTTTGTAGCATTTTAAGATTTAAAAAAGGACCGCACATTAAAATCTAAAACATGATAAACATGACGCATATACTAAATAAGTGAATTATCTGATATGTAAATAAAGAAGTAAGTCATTTGACAGTTGAAGGAAAAAAATGAATATACTCTTCAAATGTAATCGTAATTTTACTCAGCTTATGTCAGCTATCAATTATTCAATATACGCATCAGTGGCATATGGACCCCAGTCATAGATCTTGCCGATGTCGCTATTACAGATGTTAATGTAAATATTTATATAATTATTGATACTCATTGTTATTTCCGTCTTTTGAATGTTTTGTTTCAAGAAATTTGACTGTGATCGATGGCTGTTGGTTTGTAAAATCCATTATCTGTTTACTATTTTCTACTTTGTTTACTCTACATGGCGTCCATTCTCGTTCTTATTCATGGCTTATCATCAACTTATTTTGGGTCTTTTAGATAAAAAGAGAATCATAAGTAATGCAACTAAGTAACAATACTATCAGATTTACACGGCAAAGTTCCAAGTTCAAATTGTGATTTCGTTTATCAAACTCTATAGAAATTTATTATACAACAATTCCAGAAAAAATATATACCTTTTGAAAGTCTCTCTTTTGAGGACAGAGGAATCTATTCGTCAGATTCACGAGTGTCGGTGTTTGTCAGTTACTCTTTACAAAATTAAACTAAAAAAATACCTTAAGCTTTACAACACTCGCGTTAACCCTTTCCATAGCATACAAAAGTGTTTCTTTTTTATTTTAACTCTTTCTCTCAATGAGAGCAAATATATTTCTTATCAATTTCGCCATTGTGAAATAGAATAAAACACATTTTACTACATAGGATAAGATCAGCAATACTTTAAACATCTTCAAAACGAAACCAAAATATTATTTTCCGACAGGACTAAATCTACGTGAGTTGACGTGCACTATTGCGATACAAGTAAGTGTTATTGCTTTAAGGAACAATCAGTTTTTTCACAATCTCTCTGTGAAAGATCAACAATGAAAAACTAAATTGTAGAAAGAGAACGGTAGGCATGTTGCTTCGCATTTGCAACGGATTCTAAAATCTGCTTTAAACTGTAGTCCTTTTTTTCGACTTGGAACTGGTGCCAGAATTGACAACTGAAGAAAAATATAAGATTTATGTCATTCATAATAAAAATATGAACATATTTAGGTAGAGTTTTGCCTTCCGTACTCCCGGTTGATGTAAACCTGACTTTTAATCATTGCGTAGACCAGATAACGCCAGAAAACGAAATAGCTTGCAACTGAAGCCAGCGCGCTCTAATACAAGGAACTTCCAATGTTATGCAAAGTGTTTGATAAAACGGCTTATAAACTGACGAAGATCTAATATTCTGTGGAAAGCTTATATTTTTCCCCGTAGACTGGTGCATATCCCAAAGAAATTGGTACAAAAATAAAATATTTACGGCTATTTTCTGTTCCGAATCGAGCAACATTGTCTTGAAAAATTATTGCCGAAAATGACGTCAATGTCACGTGGTATGGTATTGCCACACTGTTTTTGTGATTAAGGAAGCACATTGTAAACAATATGGTATTTTGACTTCCATACGCAATACAAATTCACTACTGCTATACTAAGTGCCAATTGGAAAATAAAGTAATAAGAAGAAAATTTAATTAAAAAAGGATATTGAAAAAAAAAGATATCATTTTTAGGCTTAATGGGCCTTCAAGCATTATTGGCAGATATTTGGTTTTTGTGATTTGTACGATTATCAAATGACCGGGAAACATAAACAAACAAACTATGACACGGTAAAATACATTTATTTAAATTTTCACATAAAACTCGGAATAACTTCCACCATTATAAGATTTATGTATGGTCATAAAGCATTCGCTCTAAATGTTAGAATTACAGTATAAGCAAGTCTATGGGAAAAATGGTTTATACTATAATCCGTTCTTGGGATGTGATTAAGAAAATAATTTATTTGCGTTGTTGCTTTATTAAATTTATGCCACTCGTTTTATAACTTCGTGTTGAACTTACAAACATTCAATCTTTTAAAATAATTTTCATATCTCTGAACTATTATCTTTACTATATTTGGTAAAAATGTGCTTCGACTGCATATGCTCGGATTAAGTCGAATTCGAAATGTAATAAGTGGATTCGATCACAGAATATATTTTAAGAACACAATTACTATAGATCATTGAATGTAAAAACATGTTTATTTTTTTAACACGGGGACATAACTCTATTAAACTGTTTGTGTTTGTACAATGTATATAAGATATTTGCATGGGCCGAAGGTTTTTTTAGGAATTAAAATGTTGAAGTTGTCGTCATCTTTAATTTTAAACATTATAATGATTTATCAAATACCTTCATATCCATGTCTGTTTTCAGAATTAGCTTGGAGCGGAGACACTTCAAACCGCAAGACTTTGTTGTTTATGTCACATCATGCAAACAGCAACCAAGGAAGTATGCGGACAACAACCAAAAGATCATTTGAGGATATGACACGGAATCAAATGAACGTGAAAAGAAACAAGATTCAAAAATACCAAGGCGATGAAAATGATGTATCAGAAGAACACATACCGTCAAACAAACCAAATAATAAAACGTTATTATTTGCAAAAGTATTTCCATTGTTTCAGTCAGCAACTCCAGAAGAGTTCCCTACATCAGACGATAGAGTCCTTAGAATTCCTCATATTTTACATCAAATTTACGTAGATGAAATGATTCCTGATGTTTATATTGAACATATCAAATCATTTATTGAATACAATCCCACATGGGAATATCGATTTTGGACGGACGCCTCGGGACGCCAGTTTCTTCAAAAACACAACCCATACCTTGTGAAAGCATTTAACACTCTCGGGAATGGTGTAAAACGTTCAGATTTGCTCCGTTATGCCGTATTGTACGAGTATGGTGGATTTTATGCAGATTTTGACATGCATAATTTCCGATCTCTCAATAGAACAACAATGAAATATGCGTGTATTTTTCCTGTTGAACCATTTGAACACAGTTCTTTCTTATATCACAGAGAATTCGTGATAAACAATGCCTTCATGGGTTGCCGCCCGAAACATCCGTTTATTAAACTGCTTTTGTTAGGACTGCGTAATGCAAGTCCGAAGGGAAATCCAGTCATGGTAACAGGTCCTATTTATGTCACCGAAAAGTTCATTCAGTACAATCATATAACAAATGAATCGGTTAATAGAAACAAAACGGACTGGAGCAGTAATTCTCCATATTTCTATAAAGGAGAAATGAAAGAAAATGACAAAAATTCCGTTTACGTACCAAATTCACAATATTTTATGGATAAGATAGATCCTATACATACAACTAAGACTGGAGTTCTTACACGCCTTTGTGGACGAGTACAGACACTATCATACCTTCGACAACGGGGTTGTATGGAATACAAAAGTAGAAGGAGCGTTCGAAAACACAGGAAATATACATTTACGACTCACCATTGGTACCATATATGGCACCGGAATAGAACTTTTGTTGAACAAATGAAGAAGGTTAATATAAAACATATAGTTCCGCAATTTATACTATATCCTGAGGATTAATAATTACATTTGTGATTTCCTTGACATTAGTGAATTGATAGAAATTCAATTAAATTTACTTATTACTCTGATTCCATCATCATATGTTTGATTCCAGGCGCGAAATTACAAAATTACGAAAATTACGAAATTAAGGATACCTTGCGAGTTTTTAATGTTTTCCTTCAGCGCATTTTTATTACATGCCTTATGTTGTTTATTTTTTAATAATTTATTTATACATCTCTGCGCCAACGAGTAAATATTTATAGATAAAAAGATTCATACTACTGATCGATCTGAGTACATGTTAATAACACATTGTAATAAAAATCAATTTGTTAAACATTATTAATAGTAAGTTGAGTGAATTATTTATACTCCGGTCATCGACAAATAAGGTTTTTCTTATATTTGTATATCAATGACTAATTACTACATTAAGCGACATTGAACTATAATAGCTATGGCTTTAATCGAAACTGTCATAATCTGGTAAAACTTTAGTCTTTGATGTATGCTGCAACACTGAAAAACACTAATTTAAATACTTTTAGAGCAGGGAAAAAATATCGACCCAGCCCATGCTAGGACTTTCTGTCGGCTTAATATAACTTACCTGCGACTTTCACACACATGCCTTATTTAGAGATGAAATGAATGTACAACTTCTACTTCTACCACCACCACAACCACTGCCACCACAACCACCACAACCACCATCACCACTGCTGTCACAGCTACCGCTTCCACCACTGCCACCACAACCACCATCACCACTGCTGCCACAGCCACCGCTACCATCACCACTGCCACCACAACAACCATCACCACTGCTGCCACAGCCACCACTAACACCACCACCACCACTGTCACCACAACCACCATCACCACTGCTGCCACAGCCACCGCTACCACCACCACCACTGCCACCACCATCACCATTGCTACCACAGCCACCGCTAACACACCACTCAAACCACTGCCACCATCACCTCTGCTGCCACAGCCACCGCTACCACCACCACTGCCACCACAACCACCGTCGCCACCACACTTGTCTATTTATTTGACTCACCACCACCTATGCAACAGCCACCACTTTCATCTTTCGGTAGATGTTTAACACACAACATCTAAGGGGTGGCGGCAGCAGCGGTGGTGGTTAGTCGAATAAATACAAAAGTGTGGCGGTGATGGTAGTGTTTGTGGCGGCAGCAGAAGGGTGTGGCAGTTGTGGTGGTGGTGGCAGTGGGGTTGGTGGTGGTCTTCAAAGTAAGAGAGATAATTGTTTTATTGCATATATTTCAAAATACATCATTGTACATTTTTTATAATGAACCAGTGTCCTTTTTGCCGGCAACCTTTCTGAGCCATCATCAAAATGTCCACACGAGTGATAACGCTGTTCAAAATTTATATTCTTCACAAAACAGCTCCTCGGGACAGTTCAGAAAAGATGATATTTCGGCACTCATTTTCTATGGTTGTTTCCCTCATTTTCTATGGTTGTTTCAGGACCTAGCGGCAGTGGTAAAACGGAGTTGACGAGAATACCACTTTTATCTAACCTTATACAACAATCACCTGAACAAATTATATGGTGTATCGGAATATGGCAAACTCATGATGATGAGCTTTAGCGTACAATTTCCTGGAGGTATTCCAGACTACTTGAATAATTCCGAGTACATCAATCTAGTGTTTGGTGATTTGATGAAAGAAGCAAAATGTGACCAAAGATTCACCAATCTTTATACAAAAGGTAGTCATCACAGACACATACCACCAAGAATTTATTTCCTAAAGGTAAAGCCTGTAGGGATATGGCTTTGAATAAACAGTATTTAGTATAGACAGGCAACAAGTGACAATTTTGGCGAAAATATCTTATCTCTAATCAAGTGCCGTTTTCATGAAGCGGCATCTAGACCATACGGTTATTTGGTGACAGATGTGAAATGGGACACTTTGGTAAAAGATCATTTACGTAGTGTAACAATCGTCAAGATAACAAATGAATATGGATAAAACTACGGAGAACCAATTACATGGTAAATGTTACTCGTCCGATACTTGTGAGGATGAGTCCAATACTGATGATGTTGATGATGATGATAATGATGATAATAATGATAATAATGATAAAGATGATGATGATGACCAGACCTCTCCATAGGGTTGATTCCTTTTTTTGCGTATCAAATTGAGTTTAATGAATCTCATTAAATTAAACTGTAGTCCTTTTTTTCGACTTGGAACTGGTGCCAGAATTGACAACTGAAGAAAAATATAAGATTTATGTCATTCATAATAAAAATATGAACATATTTAGGTAGAGTTTTGCCTTCCGTACTCCTGGTTGATGTAAACCTGACTTTTTAATCATGGCGTAGACCAGATAACGCCAGAAAACGAAATAGCGTGCAACTGAAGCCAGCGCGCTCTAATACAAGCAACTTCCAATGAACATTATGCAAAGTGTTTGATAAAACGGCTTATAAACTGATGAAGATCTAATATTCTGTGGAAAGCTTATATTTTTCCCCGTAGACTGGTGCATATCCCAAAGAAATTGGTACAAAAATAAAATATTTACGGCTATTTTCTGTTCCGAATCGAGCAACATTGTCTTGAAAATAATGCCAAAATTACGTCAATGTCACGTGGTATGGTATTGCCACACTGTTTTTGTGATTAAGGAAGCACATTGTAAACAATATGGTATTTTGACTTCCATACGCAATACAAATTCACTACTGCTATACTAAGTGCCAATTGGAAAATAAAGTAATAAGAAGAAAATTTAATTAAAAAAGGATATTGAAAAAAAAAGATATCATTTTTAGGCTTAATGGGCCTTCAAGGATTATTGGCAGATATTTGGTTTTTGTGATTTGTACGATTATCAAATGACCGGGAAACATAAACAAACAAACTATGACACGGTAAAATACATTTATTTAAATTTTCACATAAAATATAACTTCCACCATTATAAGATTTATGTATGGTCATAAAGCATTCGCTCTAAATGTTAGAATTACAGTATAAGCAAGTAACTTCGTAATAACTTCGTGTTGAACTTACAAACATTCAATCTTTTAAAATAATTTTCATATCTCTGAACTTATTATCTTTACTATATTTGGTAAAAATGTTCTTCGACTGCATATGCTCGGATTAAGTCGAATTCGAAATGTAATAAGTGGATTCGATCACAGAATATATTTTAAGAACACAATTACTATAGATCATTGAATGTAAAAACATGTTTATTTTTTTAACACGGGGACATAACTCTATTAAACTGTTTGTGTTTGTACAATGTATATAAGATATTTGCATGGGCCGAAGGTTTTTTAGGAATTAAAATGTTGAAGTTGTCGTCATCTTTAATTTTAAACATTATAATGATTTATCAAATACCTTCATATCCATGTCTGTTTTCAGAATTAGCTTGGAGCGGAGACACTTCAAACCGCAAGACTTTGTTGTTTATGTCACATCATGCAAACAGCAACCAAGGAAGTATGCGGACAACAACCAAAAGATCATTTGAGGATATGACACGGAATCAAATGAACGTGAAAAGAAACAAGATTCAAAAATACCAAGGCGATGAAAATGATGTATCAGAAGAACACATACCGTCAAACAAACCAAATAATAAAACGTTATTATTTGCAAAAGTATTTCCATTGTTTCAGTCAGCAACTCCAGAAGAGTTCCCTACATCAGACGATAGAGTCCTTAGAATTCCTCATATTTTACATCAATTTACGTAGATGAAATGATTCCTGATGTTTATATTGAACATATCAAATCATTTATTGAATACAATCCCACATGAGAATATCGATTTTGGACGGACGCCTCGGGACGCCAGTTTCTTCAAAAACACAACCCATACCTTGTGAAAGCATTTAACACTCTCGGGAATGGTGTAAAACGTTCAGATTTGCTCCGTTATGCCGTATTGTACGAGTATGGTGGATTTTATGCAGATTTTGACATGCATAATTTCCGATCTCTCAATAGAACAACAATGAAATATGCGTGTATTTTTCCTGTTGAACCATTTGAACACAGTTCTTTCTTATATCACAGAGAATTCGTGATAAACAATGCCTTCATGGGTTGCCGCCCGAAACATCCGTTTATTAAACTGCTTTTGTTAGGACTGCGTAATGCAAGTCCGAAGGGAAATCCAGTCATGGTAACAGGTCCTATTTATGTCACCGAAAAGTTTATTCAGTACAATCATATAACAAATGAATCGGTTAATAGAAACAAAACGGACTGGAGCAGTAATTCTCCATATTTCTATAAAGGAGAAATGAAAGAAAATGACAAAAATTCCGTTTACGTACCAAATTCACAATATTTTATGGATAAGATAGATCCTATACATACAACTAAGACTGGAGTTCTTACACGCCTTTGTGGACGAGTACAGACACTATCATACCTTCGACAACGGGGTTGTATGGAATACAAAAGTAGAAGGAGCGTTCGAAAACACAGGAAATATACATTTACGACTCACCATTGGTACCATATATGGCACCGGAATAGAACTTTTGTTGAACAAATGAAGAAGGTTAATATAAAACATATAGTTCCGCAATTTATACTATATCCTGAGGATTAATAATTACATTTGTGATTTCCTTGACATTAGTGAATTGATAGAAATTCAATTAAATTTACTTATTACTCTGATTCCATCATCATATGTTTGATTCCAGGCGCGAAATTACAAAATTACGAAAATTACGAAATTAAGGATACCTTGCGAGTTTTTAATGTTTTCCTTCAGCGCATTTTTATTACATGCCTTATGTTGTTTATTTTTAATAATTTATTTATACATCTCTGCGCCAACGAGTTAAATATTTATAGATAAAAAGATTCATACTACTGATCGATCTGAGTACATGTTAATAACACATTGTAATAAAAATCAATTTGTTAAACATTATTAATAGTAAGTTTGAGTGAATTATTTATACTCCGGTCATCGACAAATAAGGTTTTTCTTATATTTGTATATCAATGACTAATTACTACATTAAGCGACATTGAAACTATAATAGCTATGGCTTTAATCGAAACTGTCATAATCTGGTAAAACTTTAGTCTTTGATGTATGCTGCAACACTGAAAAACACTAATTTAAATACTTTTAGAGCAGGGAAAAAATATCGACCCAGCCCATGCTAGGACTTTCTGTCGGCTTAATATAACTTACCTGCGACTTTCACACACATGCCTTATTTAGAGATGAAATGAAATGTACAACTTCTACTTCTACCACCACCACAACCACTGCCACCACAACCACCACAACCACCATCACCACTGCTGTCACAGCTACCGCTTCCACCACTGCCACCACAACCACCATCACCACTGCTGCCACAGCCACCGCTACCATCACCACTGCCACACAACAACCATCACCACTGCTGCCACAGCCACCACTAACACCACCACCACCACTGTCACCACAACCACCATCACCACTGCTGCCACAGCCACCGCTACCACCACCACCACTGCCACCACCATCACCATTGCTACCACAGCCACCGCTAACACACCACTCAAACCACTGCCACCATCACCACTGCTGCCACAGCCACCGCTACCACCACCACTGCCACCACAACCACCGTCGCCACCACACTTGTCTATTTATTTGACTCACCACCACCTATGCAACAGCCACCACTTTCATCTTTCGGTAAATGTTTAACACACAACATCTAAGGGGTGGCGGCAGCAGCGGTGGTGGTTAGTCGAATAAATACAAAAGTGTGGCGGTGATGGTAGTGTTGGTGGCGGCAGCAGAAGGGTGTGGCAGTTGTGGTGGTGGTGGCAGTGGGGTTGGTGGTGGTCTTCAAAGTAAGAGAGATAATTGTTTTATTGCATATATTTCAAAATACATCATTGTACATATTTTATAATGAACCAGTGTCCTTTTTGCCGGCAACCTTTCTGAGCCATCATCAAATGTCCACACGAGTGATAACGCTGTTCAAAATTTATATTCTTCACAAAACAGCTCCTCGGGACAGTTCAGAAAAGATGATATTTCGGCACTCATTTTCTATGGTTGTTTCCCTCATTTTCTATGGTTGTTTCAGGACCTAGCGGCAGTGGTAAAACGGAGTTGACGAGAATACCACTTTTATCTAACCTTATACAACAATCACCTGAACAAATTATATGGTGTATCGGAATATGGCAAAACTCATGATGATGAGCTTTAGCGTACAATTTCCTGGAGGTATTCCAGACTACTTGAATAATTCCGAGTACATCAATCTAGTGTTTGGTGATTTGATGAAAGAAGCAAAATGTGACCAAGATTCACCAATCTTTATACAAAAGGTAGTCATCACAGACACATACCACCAAGAATTTATTTCCTAAAGGTAAAGCCTGTAGGGATATGGCTTTGAATAAACAGTATTTAGTATAGACAGGCAACAAGTGACAATTTTGGCGAAAATATCTTATCTCTAATCAAGTGCCGTTTTTCATGAAGCGGCATCTAGACCATACGGTTATTTGGTGACAGATGTGAAATGGGACACTTTTGGTAAAGATCATTTACGTAGTGTAACAATCGTCAAGATAACAAATGAATATGGATAAAACTACGGAGAACCAATTACATGGTAAAGGTTACTCGTCCGATACTTGTGAGGATGAGTCCAATACTGATGATGTTGATGATGATGATAATGATGATAATAATGATAAAGATGATGATGATGACCAGACCTCTCCATAGGGTTGATTCCTTTTTTTGCGTATCAAATTGAGTTTAATGAATCTCATTTACAGCCTAAAATCAGTAGAACCAGGCTACAAACATTTTTATGCGCATGCTCGGTTTACTTCAACGAAAAATTAAAATCAACTGTAGTAAATTGTCCATTGTGAATATCGAAAAGTGACGGTAAACATTTATAATAGCTACAATACTGTGGAATTTGAAAAGGAGTATTTTAGGATGGTATATCTGGCCAACATATTTTTAACTCATTTCATTGTAAAACAAATGGGTCATCAACAGTCCAGGCCATTGGCACAGGTCACTTATTTTTAGATATGCTCAATCCTCATTGCGCAGGAATAGAATAAAAGTCACACAACAAGAAGTCGCAAACTTAAAGTAGTATTTTTAGCCCTTCATCATTGCTTTGTCTTTTACAGGTTACATGTACTTGGTTATATAAAAGGGGTTTTCTTTAATTTTTCTGCTGTTCACAAGTTTAAAGAATAGTTAATCAAAAGTAAGTGTATCAATTTTATATACCATAAAAAGTACACATATAATAACTTTGTGCAAGTTAATGCTGCATTAAGTTGCATTGTTTTTTATTCAAAATTGAAATTTGACCTTTGGAATAATTTCTTTACTGACGAATGGCCACAGAAGAAGTCAATCAAATGGTCAGATTTCAATTTCAAATAAAAAACATGTTCATCGCTTATTTGGTTGATAAGTGGAAGTATACTGAAAAAAAGGCATTTATAGACTGCAGACCCAATCATCAGTCGTGCAGACTGTTTTACGCACGCGGGTCGCGCGCCAGTCCACTTTTGCACATGACGCTATTGGAATCTTTGAGTTTATTGAAGTTGAAGAGATGTTGTTGTCGTTGAGATGAGTTGTTGTAGTTTAAGTGTTTAATTTGCTTTTAGACTGTTGCTAGTATATAATTATGGTGCATAATTTTATTGATTTTGTTATCATGCTTTCACTTACAAGTACGTACGCGTAGAATTCTACTGTAAATGATATACTTTTTCATTGAAAACGTGTTTAGATTCTTAACAATATCACCATACACTATGATATGACCTATAGTGAACCGTGTATGGTTTTGCTGCTTCTTTTACTTCGGAACACCTCGCCAATTATTCCTAATCTGAGAGACTAACGGGAATACCCGATATGTTGCTTTCGCTTGCAGACGCAATTCGACTGATCAAAAGTTCTTACTTTCCCGCCATTTGAACAATTCAATTAGGGTGTGGGGGGGGGGGGGTTGTAAAGGGAAGAAGCCGCTGCGAGGAGTTTGATCAAACTCCACACAGTGATTACTTCCCTTGGATGATTGTACTGTGATTACTTAGAAGATTGGTAGCTAAATCATTTCCTGCTGTTCGGGTTAAGCCAGTACAACTTGGCTTCAAGTCATGAAGTCATAAAGGTCGGTCGGTGTATGTCATTTTAACATGACTTTTTTTGTGATACATGTAATGTAGGAATGCTTCTAAAAACACGGCTTAGTCTAATGACGGAAAAAAACTCCATGTAATTAAAAGAAAATATTTGGTTTGATTACTGTTTCCAACATCTACGTTGAATTAACAAATCATAAAATGACATTTAGACATTTACTGTTCATTTTTCGAGTATCCAAATAACCATGATAGAACAGCAATATGTGTTATCAATGAAATACAACTTGAATATTCAGTACCTACGTATATTTTTAGGCTCGATCTTATTGTAACAACTCCCGAATCCGCTTGCTGGAGCTGAGATCATAGGTCCCGACTCTAGCAGGGCTTGAAACCCACGACCTTTGAATTGAGATGCAAACGTCTTCACCATTTGGCCACCTTTCACTTTAACATGTTAAGATGGCATGAAAGCGAAACTATACGACATTTGCCAATGATACTTAAGTTTCATCGATCATTCGAACAAACTGACGAACTTAATTAATAAATATCTGACTAAAATAAGCATTTTATCCTTTTAATGATCAGCATTATTTTTTGTCCAACCACATTAAATGTATCATTTCTCAAATTTCTGCTAAGTCTAACTTTGGTTAATGTGTACTAACTAAATAAAATTTACTTAATCTGTCGTCTAACCAGTCTAACAATTTTCAATAATGCATTATATTAGGGAGGAGTTAGAAGTGTGGTTTGCACTCTGAATTGTAAAATATCTAGGTTAGCAAAACAATGCCAACGTAAAAAAAAATTTCATCAGACAAACGCAGTTAAACTTTACAAACTGAATGTCATTCACTCAATCAGACTGTGCAAATACATGTAAACTGTTATATAAAAGAGCAATCCTATCTAGGTAGTTCACCTGGTTTTATTTCAACTTTAAGTACACTGAACAAAACCTTTTGTAACGGTGAAGTTTTATAGGTTAATCTATTATTGCACCTTTTCATACCATACATGTATGAAATACACTAAACGAAACTTATAAGTACTCCGACCATTTTTTTATCATATTGTGTTAGAATTACTATAACTAGTCTAAGTCGATACTGTATAAACTTTAATCATAGTATCATCATTTTATAATAGTAAATGCATTTTACAATAACTCAAACTTAACAGAAAATCAGTATCTGAGATCACCATTGTAAAAAAATCCGACACCTTCAAGTTTAGTCAATTTAGTCAATACCTCGTATGTCCTCCGTTTGCTCTGATTACAGCTAGGCATCGTGCGCGCATAGACATTATGTAATTTGTTGCAGCGACATTCGGGCCATTTTGTGTTTTTATGTTAGACACATCAATAAACTAACAATTTGCATCAAAATACACAATGTGGGCATCTTGCACGAAATGCACGTGCCCATTTTCGGGTTTTTGCATGTGACCGCCATATTGCGCCATATTGTTTTAAAATCATTCATGCAGTCGGAAAGTAGAGTCAGTACATATTTTCAACATTGATTTGGTATATACTTTGAAAACCGGAGTTTTCCTGCAAGTTTGAAATCGGAGTACTTATAAGTTTCGTTAAGTGTATTATACCATTTAAGAGCGTACCATTGAAGTTAAACGCACATTTTTCATATAAAAAACGCATTGCCCATTCTAAACTAGAAATGTTATTGTTCATAAACAAAGATTACATTTATCAATGTTATTATTAATAAGATCCAAGACGTTTACTCTTGAAATAATTATATTGATTACGCTTACACCTTTACATAGCGTTGAAAAATCTGAAGAATTCTAGGCTATGAATTGCATTCTTACTACTCATCCATGTTTTATGTCTCCGGTAATCATGTTTTATACTGACAATGTTTATTCCATGTCTGACAATGTTTTATCTCTGTCTGACTATGTTCTATTTCTGTCTGACAATGTTTCTATCTGACAATGTTTTATTTCTATCTGACAGTGATTTATGTCTGTCTGACAATGTTTTATCTCCGTCTGACAATGTTATACCTGACTTACAACGTTTTTTCCCGTTGCCTTTCAACGTTGCCTTTCAACGTTGCCCGTTGTCTCTGCCTGACAATGATTTATCTCTATCTGTCAATGTTTTATCTCTATCTGTCAATGTTTTACCTCTGTCTGATAATGTTTTATCTCTGTTTAATCTTTTTCTGACAATGTTTTATCGCTGTCTGACAATGATTTATCTCTGTCTGACAATGTTCTATCCATGTCTGACAATGTTTTATCTCTGTTTAATCTGTATCTGATAATGTTTATCTCCGTATGACAATGCTTGATCTCCGTCTGACAATGTAATATCTGGCTAACAATGTTATTTTCCTTTGTTTTATCTCTGTCTGACAATGTTTTATCTCTATCTGACAATGCTTTATCTCCGTCTAAAAATGCTTGATCTCCGTCTGACAGTATTTTGTTCCCTGTTTTATCACTGTCTGACAATGTTTTACTTCTGTCTGACAATGTTTTGTCTCTGTCTGACAATGTTTGTTCACTGTCTGACAATATTTTATCTCCGTCTGATATTATGTTATATCTGGTTAACAATGTTTTTTTCTGTTTTACCTCTGTCTGACAATGTTTTTCTTCTGTCTGGCAATGTTTTGTCTCTGTCTGACAAAATATTTTTTCACTGTCTGACAATATTTATCTCCGTCTGACAATATGTTATATCTGTTTAACAATGTTTTTTTTTCTGTTCTACTCTATCTAACAATGATTTATCTCTGTCTGACAATGTCAACGACAAGGTCCCAAAATGGTATAAACAACGAAATCAAACTGTGTCTGCTGAAAACTTGTTGTATATTGGCAATATACGTGTCTTTCGAGAATTTAGTAATCCCGCGTAATGCTTCGTATGTAGTTTGTCCCCTGGCAACAATAAGCATATGCCAAAACAAAAATCCAAACGAGGCGAGTGTTCCGGCCAAACTCACGTATAACATTAGAAATACTCCTAGATACCTAAATGACGGTATCTGGCCTTGTAAAAGACTCATTATCGTACTCAAAAATAGAGATAAAAATGTTTGTGGTCCGTGAAACTGAATTCCATAAAGATAGTTAAGATATTTGGCCATCAACAACATTCCGTAGAATGTGCCTACTCCCATAAACAGAGTAAACAAAATGAAATATATATGGTTTGCTTTTCCAATACAAACACCCATAAAGAAACAATGGTGGTCTCTCTTTGTAACACACTTTTCACACAAATAGCAGTGATGCGTCCTGATAGGAACCGTCATGTCGCAGGCTTTGCAAAATATGTCCGATTTTTTCTTACGATCTTGACTTTGTTTGCCAACCTTACTTTTTGCCTTCCTTCTAACAGCAATATTGTCACTATTTCTAGATTGGTCCGCCATCACGCCATAATCACGTGATTTATCTTCTTCCGGTTTTGGTGCAGTTTCTGTGAAGATGCATGTAAGGTAATTTCCAACAACTGCTGTAAAAACGTACCAAATGCCGAGCCTATGTTGGAGAACCATTGCTCCATCATGGTAATAACATTCCGGAACAATGTAGAAAAATGCCACGTGTGTTACCATGAAGGTCATTGTAAAGAGATACATAGCGCAGAATATATTCATTAACGCTTGCAACCGTACTTTATTAGAAACTCCACAACGAAATATCAACGAATAAACCGCCATTTTGTTAAAGACACAATGTTTATGTTATGTATAAAACAAGGTCATCCTTTTTGCATAACGTCTGATAAAATATTTCAAACTTAATAGTAATAACATTTAAAGTTCAACAGCACTTGAACTTGCATTATCTTTGTAACTACATTATATGCGATATTTAAATAAAAGGGTTTTCATAAATCGAACAGTTTTCTATCTAAGCGTCTTATCAAATAATTTAAATCCCTTTCAAATCGTGAACTTAAACTTTGGATTAACATTGTTAAATCAATGAATTTCGTTTCGATTATTACTTATTGGATATACTTTGTACTCATTGTTTCAAAGATACTCTTCTTATTTTCAGTTATTTACATTATTAATAAGCCCTAGGGAATATTAACTAAACACTAGAAATTAATGATAGCACCGCCCAAGGAATGATAATACGTTAAAAGATTCTGCGAGAAAATCATTAATCTATGATAAAACAATTACTACAATAAATATAATTAATGAAATATTTTGCCTTTTTCAGATTGAAAGTTGGATTTCGCGCCGGGTTTCTAAATTAGGCTATAATAGGGAACGGGGATAGAAAATGTGAATAATGATAGTACGTAGGCTAATCGTAACGAAATGAAATAAATTCACCTGGTCTTATTTTTCAAGGCACTCCATATCATGAAGCTATGGAAGCACTGGAGGGCCCTTTTGACTTCTGACTTAATTACTTTTGACTATTGACTTGGGAGTTATGACTTGTGACTTCTAAGTTGTGGCTTGTCATTTGTGATGAAGCATTGCCGCTCATTTTAAGCCAGGAGATGCAACATGGCGGACAGCGATTTGTCAGATGATGTAAGTTTTTACAGTTTGCTTGAATATTCTTCTTAGATAATGTAATTAAGCGATGTTATACATATCCATCACAAATCGGGCACTACAATTTGGACGGTCTGTGTATTTTTGTTCACTGAGATCTAGATGCGTTTACCATAAGAAATAAACACTCTCCCTCAATGTGAGAAAAGTGACTCCTTTCAAGCCTGACGGGGGAACCGAGTCTAACTTCCATCACTCAAACAATCTATACTTAATGAAACTTATAAGTACATGTACTAAGATTTAAACTTGCGGATAAGCTCGAGTTTTCAAAATATATGCCAAATCAGTTATTGGCTTCTTGTTAAAATTGAATTATTACAAAATGCATTTACTGATATAAAATGATGATACTATGATAAGTGTTTATACAAGAATCGTTGTAATTATTTTATTATATATATACATAATTATTCTGACCACTTATATAAACATGTACATAGAAAAGGTTGTCGGAATGATCGATTTCGTTTAGTGTATTAATACCATTTACAAAACTAAAAAACAAAGAAACACTCTTCTTTAAATGACTGATTATGCATAAAATACAATTGCACACCAATTTTATTCATCAATGTTATTCATCTGGTCCTCTCCGTGTATATGAGAATTAGATTTATCACTGGATTCGGGTTGGTCAAACACATTCGACGTTCCCATATTTATTGTTTACTGTACATTACGGGAACAAAATGCCTCCTCAGATGAAAAATACGGCATATTATATTTGAAAGCCAGAACTAGACCCAGGAGGCCATAAATGGCTCAAAAACACTTTGGTTCAGCTAGGTAGTTGATCAGCTAGACCTTGTCAGAAATCAAAATAATAAACAAAAACTTTTCTATCAGTAATACTGTCAGAATACCGTTAGGGCCATCATGGTTGAACGTTATAATCCAGTGGGTGACAATGTGATAGTGCGAAAACGCGATGGCGATAGTACGAGAGTACAGTGACGATAGTACGATAGTGCGATGATGACAACGCAACAATGCAATGGCGACAGTGCGATGACGACAGTACGACAATGCGACAGTGCGATAATGCGATGGCGACAATGCGATAGTACGATGACAATAATGTGATAGTCTATAGCATTGTCGGCCTCGTGTTATCGCGTTGTCGTCATCCTACAATCACCATCGTGTTGTCGCACTATCACATTGTAGCTCTCTGGAATACATAAACGTACAACCACGATGGCCCACGATGGTATTCCGTAATACTGTGCTTTTCGCTTCATAGATTCATTGAATTTAAGCTTACTTGAAAGAAGAATTAACTTTGATAAAGTTAGTCCTTCTAAACTAAAGTGATTCAGTTTTTAATTGTGCTTAGGTCAAATAAGAATATGTTGGTTTGTAGTGCCCGCTACCTTCCCATCTTCAATTCTTTTAGATCATCGACTTGCCGATATGTATCCTATTCTCCCATAAATACCTCCACTTAATAAGAATATGGCATTTGTAATTAAGATTAGTAACGGAATATATTTGCTATGTTTTATTAAAACAACTAAACCATGTGTAATCTGATTATCTCATGACAGTATACTTTGTGTCGTTAATGGTTAGTATTAGAAAATTGTAATTCTGAAACTTCAGTTAATTGAGAATGTTTGAATGAAGTACACAAAATCACAAAATACTATCTTTTGTGCAACAGTGATTAAATAATTATTAAAACACCAGGTAAGCAATGTTGATAAAATGAAGCACAAAATGAAGCACCTTTCGAAATTTTATCTTTTTGTAATTTACAGGACATACATAGGAAACAACGTATAAAGGAAGTCATAGACAGCATTAAAAATAGAAAGGCAAAGAAGAAAAAACAGACCCAAACTACTAGTTCGCTGCTCCAAGAAATGGAACACTGATTTGTTTCTACTTCATTTGTTTATTGCTAAATAAAAGTTCTTTTTTAAATCAATATTATTAAAGATACTAACATTTTTAAAAAGATATTGTCATTGTGCTTTTAGAACACAATTGTGTAAATCGTCCTTGATTTTACATCCTGTAATTTATAGCTCGACTTTTCGAAGAATAAGGAGAGCTTTCACCTCATCCGGGCGTCGGCGTTAGTTTAATGTTCTGTCAATTTTTTCATACCACATCAATTATGTTCCAAGTCCCTTAATATATCGCTTTGAAATTTTGCCAGACTTGTTAACCACCATGACCCCAACCCCGAGACATGGGTAGATAACTCTGTCAAGCATTATGTTAAAATTGACTGCCTTGTCGACTAGATGGTTTTCATTTTACTACCAAGAACTACGAATAGTCGTGTGTGCTGCCCATGACGCTCTTGTTGTATTATTTAATTCGCGTGACTTTAAGTAGAAGCTTTGCTGAGAATGCTATTGTTGTTATCTAGAGGAAAATATAACAAAAAGAACCACCTTCTGTGTGCTGGTGTCTCGTATCCAAAGCTGTGCTATGCCAATCTTAAATTTGCTAGAGTAAAATAGGACTGGTGGAATAAGAACAAAAAATCATAGTTTTGGTGCATGACCTTGCCCTACACGAGCGCTTTATACTAGGGCTAGAAAAAGTCTAGTTGTTTAAACCATTTTGAGGGCTTATTGCGAAACGGTTGTAACTTAAACTAGATAAAGAAGGAGATACAACTGTTTTGCACCAAGCGCTCGAATTATATTTTTATTTGCATTTTTACTCGTACAGCTTCATGGCGGTTGAAAATCTGTTCCTTTGCCAATCCCCAAACCATATATTAATTCCATGTATTTGTAATAGAGGTCGATACGTAAAGCGTCAAGACCACAAGTGTTTGAAGTCACTACTCACAAGTAGGAAGTCAAAAGTCACAAGTAGAAAGTCACAAGTAAGAAGTCAAAAGTCACAAATAGGAAGTGTCTAGTCAGAAATACGAAGTCACAAGTCAGACCATTGTGCACGAAGTGTCATTACAATATCGTTTAAAACGTCCTTAGCTTTACAAATGCGTCTTCCTTTATGGCTTAAAAAAAGACGTCAGTCTTCATACGAGTTTGCCACTAAATCATTCAACTCTAGGAACAAATTGAATGCTGAATCGGCATCTACTGGCATTTGGAGGTCGGGCTTTAACAGATAAGCCAATTCGCTGAATTCGTCAAACTTTCTCTTTCGAACTGAATACATGTCTTTACAACAGGTTACATCACGTTTGTCAACTCTTAATCAAGCGCGCAAAACGTTTCAGGTAAAAAATACATAATGTCAGGTTTTCCGTAATGTGCGTCGGAATTGTGCTGAGGTATAATTTCATGTACATTCCACTGTTGAGCAATTCTATCCAGATGTGTTTGTATTAGGTTCATAAAATAAAATTTTCAAATTTTCAAATGTATCTGGTAGAGTTCATTGAAACGACCAGCATCGCGCAAATTCTTAAACAAATTAATCCACCACTGTATTCTTTGTTGACGTAGCGTACCCCACCATCTTTCAATGCGCTGGTTAGAAGTGCTTCTTCCAACAATAACGCTGCGACTACCAGCAAAGTGGTCGGTTGCTTCATTCCGAAAGAACTGCTGTAGAAGACAAACAACACTGCTTTCTGTTCCAGCATCGCAACGAAGTATGCGAGGTGTTTTTCAATGCGCTTCAATGCATCCAAATAATATATCGCAATCAGTTTTGGATCGTTGTTAGTGTCAGAAACTTCTTACCAGGTAACTTTCCTGCTAAAACCATCTACCGCTCCGAATGGTTTCAACTTATCATAACCATCTTAATGCCAAATATTGGTTGGCCCTTTTGCACAATAGAAACGTCTTTTAAGTCGATGTGCTTTTCTCATTTCAACACCCTCCGTTTATAAAAATCCGAATGGCTTCAACTTATCATAACCATCTTAATGCCAAATATAGTTTGGCCATTTTGCACAATAGAAAACGTCTTTTAAGTCGATGTGCTTTTCGCATTTCAACACCATTTGGATATATTGCCTTCATTATGTCCATAACATCTTTATGTCTTACATCCATATTATGATGCACTTTAAGCCGGCGCCATATCGTCCGATAACCGACAGATTGTCCACTATAATGCTTTTCCGTGCCAATTACACGAACAACGTTTTTCAACTGCGATTGCAAATGTACACCTCGACGTTTCAGGTTCAACTTCTTCAAGATTCTTTTCAGCTGACGCAGTGACAAGAAAATACAATGCTTATATAGCAAAAATCCA